TCAGTAATAACAGTTGACATATCACTAACCAATTAATTTTTAATCCATTTGTTAAATAGGTAATCTTTAACGACATAACTTGTTAAAGGTGCTTATAGCAGAGGAATTAGTGGAGAGTTCAAAAGATTATTTTATGTGAGAAGCTGGCATGAAAGCTGGAAATGAGTGTAGGAAGGTAACAAATACATGCACAGGGACAGGGTGAGGAAAATGACTTTTCTGTGGGAATGCGTGACTGTGGAGAAGATCCCAGCTATAAATATACCCCAAAAAGCTACACACAATGTTTGGCTAATTCATCCCATGCTACCTTCTTTGTCCATGCTACTAATTTGGATCTCTCCATCACTTTTTATCTCTGGCTGCCGTGAATTTTTAATACCAACAGGAATGTTCCATCACAGGAATGCTCCATCATACCAGATGTCTGCTGGAAGTACAACACAGCAGAAAGGGGGCAATCCAAGAGGTTCCTGGAATGTATGGAAGATAACTTCCTGCGACAGCTGGTAAGTGAACTTGCCAGGGGTAGTGCCATGCTGGACCGACTGTTCATGAGCAGGGAAGGGCTGGTGAAAGATGAAGTGGTTGGAGGTCAACTTGGGCACAGCAACCATGATATGATAGAATTTTCAATCTGTGGTGAAGTTAGAAGGGTTGTCAGCAAATCCTCTACCTTGGACTTCCAGAGGGCTGACTTTGGTCTCTTCAGGACGCTGGTTGGGAGCGTCCTTTGGGAAGCTGCACTCAAAAGCAAAGGAACTCAGGAAGGCTGGGCATAGTTTAAGAATGAAATGATGAAGGCGCAGGGGCAGGCTTCCCTGTGTGCTGAAAAAGGAGCCAACAGGGAAGAAAACCAGCCTGGTTGAGCAGGGAACTATTACAAGAACTCAAAAATAAAAAGAGTATATCAACTTCGGAAAAAGGGGCAGGCGAATCAGGAAGTATTTAAGGATATTGTAAGGGCATGTGGAAAGAGATTAGAGATGCAAAAGCTCAGCTAGAACTTAATCTGGCCATCACTGTAAAGATAATAAAAAATGCTTTTATAAATACATCAATAACAGAAGGAGGGTCAGGGAAAATCTTCATTCCTTATAAGATGAGGAGGGGATATTGAGGTGCTGGAGTGGGTCCAGAGGAGACCAACGAGGCTGGTGAAAGGACTAGAGGGAAAGTCTTATGAGGAGAGGCTGGGGGACCTGGGGTTGTTTAGCCTGGAGAAGAGGAGACTCAGGGGGGACCTTATCACTCTCTTCAACTGCCTGAAGTGAGGTTGTAGTCAGGTGGGGGCTGGGCTCTTTTCTAGGCAACTAGCAACAGGACAAGGGGGCATGGCCTGAAGCTGCTCCAGGGGAGCTTTAGATTGGATATTAGGAAGCACTTCCTCACAGAGAGGGTGATTAGACATTGGAATGGACTTCCCAGGGAAGTGATGGAGGCACCATCCCTGGATGTGTTCAAGGAAAGGCTGGATGTGGCACTTAGTGCAATGGTCTAGCCAGTGTGGTGGTGTTGGTCATAGGCTGGACTTGATGCTCTTAAAGGTCTTTTCCAGCCTTGGTGATTCTGTGTTTCTGTGATTTCTACAGTTGTTTTTCTGTCCTCTGACTTTAATACAGATTCCAATGTACTATATAGGTGGTACAGCCCACATTCACTGAAGTACCTCTTTAAAAATATAACTCAGCACCAATCCAGCTTAGCTAACTCACTGGGGATCCACCTGGCATAGTAGGATTCCCAGATGTCATGAGGGTGGACATTTGCTCCTGCTCCATGCCTTTTGGCTGCTGCTTGGTTGCAATGGGAAGACAGGCACAGCTGGAACACAGTGGTGCCCAAGGGGTGGTGCTGGCAACAGATGCACTGATGTTGGGGAAACCTGATGTTGGGGAAACCTAATGTTGGGGAAAACTAATGCTGGGTGAGTCTGGGGTTTTTCTTTGAGTTTGAAGGGAAGGAATGTTGCATCAGGTTATTCATTAGAATAACACTAAATCTTCACTTGTCAGTGTTTGTGGTAGAGCTTTGGTCCAGTGAATAAAGAGTAGGTCCTCTCTTTCCTGTACAGCTAGAGAGCAATTAATATCACACCATTATAACTTACTCTCCCTCACCTCCATATGACCTGAAAAATGTGCCTTGATTGTTCATGTCCCTAAGTGATTCTGGGAAAAAGCTAGATGAGCTTTCATTTGGGATGAAATACTTAAAACTTTTTAGTCTTAATCCTTTCTTCAGTCTGCTTTGGCAGAACCAAATGTCTGGTTTAGTGTTTCTGTATGTGCCCAACATGGATGTTTTGTTACACATGTGAATATTTAAGCTTACAAGAATTTTGTTCCTTTAAGTACTTTTTTTTTACTTTTTTTTTTTTAGCTTTTTCCCCTCACTAGTGTAATAACACCACTTCCTAAACCATATTCTTTTCCTAGATACTGACCACATCATCTCTGGGTGCTACTCCACTAATAAAAGAAATAAAGACGTGGATTATAGGATCCTTTATAGACCTGCATGGAACTCATCTGGCTCAGCTGGTAGGGGTCACGTAAACCTTCTCCATCCGTTACAGTTTGTGTGGTTTCACACCCAACAAATGTCAAAGCAGAACTCAGTGCAACTGCCAAGTTTCTTCTGTGTTTGGGTTAAGCCATAAAAGAACCCACCGAATTCCACATCAGTCATTTTAGAGTTGAAAGAAGCCACCCAGGTTCAGAGAGGAGGTAAAAAATCTGATGAACGTTTTGGCAAATATTACCTGAACAGTGGCTAAAAAAAACCCTGGATTTTTCAAACTTTGTATTGTCTGACCAACCTGATAGCTGGTCCATCCTGATGCAAATTTTTGTTCTCTGTAGCTCTTATTTTGTACAGAAACATTGAGAATGAAAGCACAGGCATGACTTTTACTCCTCTTTAGGCATTTGGACTGTGCTCACTTGCAAGGTTTCTGAGGATGAAAAGATGTGTCTCAGTGGTGAAGAGGATTAATACTCATGAGTACAAGGACGGAGCTGATGAGGTGTTAGAAAATTCCTAGCTTGAAGAAGAAAGCAGAAAAGCCTTTTTGTGAGGAAGCTTAGTGATGACTCCAACTTTGGTACAACTCTCCAGAGTGTGCCTCTTCAAGGACATAAGTGATCTCTCAGAAATTAAGAGGACTTATTTGCGTAAGGGTCAGAGCATGCCTGCAAGCTTTGGCAGATCATGACAGCATGAAGAAGTGAAACAATAGCATGTTTTGCAGCTGTGTATTTTCTGGCAGAAATATCATTTTGGACATCAATTTAGAGAAAAGCCAAAGGGAGATCAACTAAGGAGGACTAGACTTGGGCTTCTCATAGTCAAGACAAGTGACTATATACATTTCTGGTTCATGTAAAGTTGAAGGTAAAAGTCAAATGTTAGGATATTTCCTGTATATGGTGTCTTGAGGATTTTTAATACCTTCCACTTACATTCTTTTTAAGAAACAAAAGTTAGGCAAGAAGTATTATCTAAACAGAAATATCTTAGCACAAATGTAGGAAGAGACACCGATAAGCAAATTCCTCACCACAAGATTTCTGCATCAAAATAAAGTTCTACCAATGTATTTATTTTTCTAAAACTCAAAAAGTTGAGACTTTTGTCATTAATTTTGTTTGCTGTGACTTTAATTTTAGCTCTCTCCACTTCTGTGTGTGGAGTGATGCTCACAGGATATGACAGAGTCTCTGTGGGTGTAAGACAGTTTCCCTGATGGCAATGGATTTATTCAATTACAACACTTTACCACTAAGCCAGTGTGCCCTTCAAAAGCCCAGACCTCAGCCAGTCTCTCAGACTTGCATATTCTTTGAAAAAATACTCAGTTCCATCACTGATTTAAGCACACCTCAGCTTTTGGCATCCTTTTCACAAAGGTGTTGGGAAAAAAACCCAAAACTTTGTTCTTGAGGAACAACCAAAGTACCAGTAATTTCTGTTTTGCACAGATGGGATTAAATGTTATGCCTTTTTTTCACACAGTTTTGATGAGATCTTATATTTAGTTACATTGAGCTGTGTGGGAGGCACAACACTCATCCAAACCATTGAACTCAAGAAAGACATGTCATGTGAAGAAGAATCAGACACAAGGACAGGCTACAGCCCCCTGAGTAGCTGAATGGCCTCTGTGAGAGCCACGCACCACAAAGTATTGTATCAACACTGAGCAGCAGACAGATGAAGGATGGTAAGAGGGCAGCCCTTGGAAGAAAGAGGAAAGGTCAGGAATAGGCTAAGGATATTCAGCTGGGGGATGAGGAAAATAATGATCTCAGTACTGGAAAAAATTTGCATAATCTGCCCTATGAAATAATATCAGACATAAGGTAAGTGGAAAGTGATTAATTTAACTTCTGCCAGGTAGCAATTTCTCAGGCCAAGATCCTGTTTTATTTTCTTTGAATAGGCTTCCTGCCTCAAATCACTTGCAGTATTTTCTTTACAATATGATAGCAACACTTAAATGGGTATGTGTCACTGCCATATATTGGAAGGCCAATGTTGTACGCACTGTACTTCCATCAGTTAGCTGGGACTCTCCCATTACTTAAGTTTTTGGGAAGTCTTCTGAGATTTTTTTGGAGCTGATTTTAATTCCTTTTTGATTGGTCATAATATGCACCGTGGTTATCACGGCACGTTCTAAAAAGATGACAATTTGAAATATTTTTCCACAGGGTGTGATGACTGCATCCTCAGATGCAGGCATCTCCATTATTCCTGGGTATGAAGTTGCACAGATAGGAATGACTTCCTCTAGAGATCACTAGAGATCTCCTGTCTCTTGCCAGTTACTTTTGAGTGAGCACAAACATACAGACCACAGTTTTGGGAGCATTGCTCTTCAACTCCAGCAGACAAACACCAGACGGATATAACCGTTTGCAGGACGGCAGTGAGAAAGCTCCAAGTGAAACAGCCCCAACATGTCACTTTCAGCACCATATTAGAGACACCCTTACCTACTCGAAGCTCTTGTCCAAAGACTGTTTTCTCTCCCAGTGCAGAGCAGTTCCACCTCCCGTACCGAAACTGGTACTGGCACTCATTGATTCCCATTTGCGCCCCTTCCCCAATCACAATGATGGCATCAGGGCGGCTCTGGCAGATCGCTCGCTGCCGAGGGGCCAGGCCTGGGATTTTGTTGCAGATTATATTAGCTCCTAAAGCCACCACGGATGACAAAGCTCTGAAGGAAAAAAAAAAAAAAAAAAAAAAGAAAGAAAAAAAGAAAAAAAAAAAGCAGAAAGACACATTATAACCAAATCCAGGCGGTGCGATTCCTTTTGCTGTGTGCTGCCATGTGACAGGCTAGGTGTGGGGCAAAAGGGGAAGGCTTGGAAGCTGTGTTATGCAGACTTATCCCAGCCTCTCTGGTCTGGCAAATTAGGTTGGAAATCTTGCAGTAATTCCTGATCTGATTCGTGCCAGAAACAACAAACTATCAGAATTTTTTGCACTTTTGCTTCCAGTCCTACAAGCAGCCATCAGCTGATGAGTGGTAAAAAGAAAGACATATTTAAAAGCAAAAAATTTAAATAACTGATTGTCCAAGAGTCTTTGGAGTCCATGTCTGCTTTGAATGACCTTCACAGATTCAGGCTCAGTGTTTTAGTTACTGCAGCCATTTCATCCATCCCTCTTTTGAAACTGTCGAGCACAATTTAGAGAAAGACTTCATGCTACCAACCCTCTTGCCTGTTATTACACTCAGAGTATTCAGTGATTAATGGAAGTTCACCAGTGTAACTGTGCTTTCAGACCTGGCAAATATCATGGAGCACATATGAGTGATCCTTAATATGTGCCATTCAGACTAGAAACATTTGTAGTTCTCATTCTTCAATAATGTATTCAGAATATATTATAAAGTTTGCATACAGCTTGCACCTGCCATATGTTTTCACTTTAGTGCATTTATTTTTCATTTTTCAGCTCACTTTTCAACATCTTTACATGCTCATTTTTCAACATTTTTACAGGCTATACTTTCAGTGGCAATATTTTGAAAAATAAGACAACAGGGGTAGACATTCAGTGTGATGCCACAGGTTGCATCTACTCAGTTATGAGCCAGGCCCACGTCAGGATGCTTCAGATAGTTCTGGACAAGTCAGAAGGAGCAAAGGAAGCACTACAGTTGCATTAGCAAAACGGGCCTTTCTCAGCATGGTGTAATGGACCCTGAGACAGATATGCAACCAAAGCCTCGAAAAGCCCCTGCCACGCTACCCTGCTGTCTGTCTCACTCCTCAACTGGCAAACCAGGGGAAGCAGCCTGCAAGGCAGTATCATTTCCACAAACCCTCTTCCCTCCTTAGCTTGTCCCAGCCTGGTATTGGATCATACAGGTGATTTCATTTTCCCACCAAATGCTGTTGTTTACTGCCTCTGTAATGTAAAGATCCTTGCCCATATCATGCTGCAGCACCGTGGGTATAAGTGGAGTTTCATAGTGGTAGAAATCACCATATATAAATAGGTTACTAACAGGATACAGACTAACTTCCCCATTACCTTCCTCTCCATCTTGAACACTGACCTCGTTTGGTGGGTTTATTTCGTAGCAGGGGAAGGGCCCCAAGGGTGGCTTAGGTAAGCTGAGAAGCTTCACCTGCTTCCAAACCCAGCCAAGGAGCCTTTAGAGAGACAACAGATGAGCCTCTGCCATTAACATATGAAAGACATGACACCTGAACAGAGGAGCACTTAAAAGGAGAAAAAGCTGTGCTGGAGAGGGAGAGTGGTGCTGGTGGTTGGTGAGGAAGAAGGGGAAGAAGGTGCCCAAGCAGATGCTTCCCTGCAGCCCATGGGGAGATGGCAGCTGTGCCCCTGCACTCATGAAGGAATGTGGTGGGACATTCCATGAAGGCACCAGGAGAGGGGAACTTGGCCAGGGGACTTGGATGTGGTGGCCAGAGGATTTGCTGCCAGTGGGCTCTGATTGCTCAGCTGTGGAAGCCCCCGGGCGAGGGGAGGTGTCTGTTCCCGAAGCCCCCATGACTCTGTGGGAAGCCCAGGCTGGAGCAGCTCCGGACCTGGTGGGAAGGACTCAGGAAGGAGAGGTTGGTGGAGGCCTCTGTGCCATGGGAGGGACCCCGTGGGGAAGCAGGGCAGGACTGTAAGGAATCCTTCTTCCTGAGGAGGCAGGAGCAGCAGGAACCCCCAGCCTGTGAAGTGACTCCAAACCCCATCCCCTGTCCCCCTGTGCCGCTGGGGGGAAGGAGGGAGAGAAACCGGGAACAAAGGGATTGGGGCCCGGGAAGAAGGGAGGGGTGGGGTAACATCTGCAAGCCCTGCTCTGTGTCTGTCTGTGTCCTGTGTGTTTGGTTAGTGTGAAATTAATTATTTTTTTTTCCCCAAGTTGAGTCTGTTTTGTCTGGGACCTTAATCAGTGAAGATCCCTCCTTGGCCTTTGTCTCAACCCAGGAGCTTTGTCCTCCTCATCCCAGAGTGTGTGTGGGGGGGGGGAATTGAGTGAGTGGCCATGGGGCTGTTCCTTTGTTGGGCCCAAACCATGACACTGACTTAAGTTTTCTGGATGTTAAAAACTTCCCGCTGGATATGTGTCTTTTGGAAAATGCTGGCTAAACAAAATTGAATAATTTTATAGGAATTTATCTGCTTCATCACAAAGGTTACTGCAAAATTACAGAAATGTTGTATTTCAATGAAATCAGAGTGTTTCATTATGCCATTTCAATAAGCTACAGTAAAGCCAGAGCAAAAAGGGTGAAATGGAGAACTCTTCCCTGGCCAAAATAAAATATTGCTTTTACTGTGGAATGGAAATTCCATGATGATTCACTCTGCCTTTAATAGGTATTTGTGCATCTTTTCCAAAGTTAACAATCCACAAGAAACTCACCAATTGTGTATTTTTATTTATGGCTTGGGGTAGGGGTTTATAGATACAGAGACAAGGTATTGCAAACACAGAGCATGCATGCCATGTGGTACTACCTATTAAACAAAAATAAGAACAAAATGTAGTTGCAGCTCTGACCACTCGCAGTGTTTAGAGCAGGAGTGATCAGATCTGCAGCTTTGATTCATATTCTTCTGGGTACTGCAGGTTTTGAGCTGTTTTTCTTCTGACCCACCTCTGCTTAAACAACTGCATAACATTTAAATTATGATGTCCATAAATCAGGACTTTCCAAGAGATATGATAATCTTAAAAAAAAAAAAAAAAGAAAATTATGAGGTTGATACATTGATACACTGATACATGGTCTGACCTTTACAGTTACACTTTATATATAAACTTAAGGCTTCAAAAGTTAATTAAAATCACCAGGAAAAGAATCAAGATTTAAATTTTTAAAAGTCAGGCACTTCTCAATACTGAAGAGTAAAAGTCATGTTTTCTTTCATAGCTCACAGTGCTTCTATCTCTCTGACTTTTCACATCAAGTAGAATATGTATTCTGAAAATATTGCAATAATTGAAAAATAAATACAAGTATTTTTCCTTTATAGCTAAGGTATTTTATTCAGCAAGATGCACTCTTTGATGACTCTAAAATGCCAGGAACCTTTCCCGAATCCTGTCAGGATCCAGGTCTGGCCCTTTCATGGTTTTAAAGGTATGACATGGGAAAGGTCTCTTGTAAGGAGTAAATAACTGGAAGATGCTGAGGGGATGGGGGACTCTGCCATTACAGCTTAGTCCATGGCTCTTCTCTCCAAGGGAGGCTGAAGGGAACCCAGGTCAGCTCCTTGCTCTCTGCCAGCATGCACAGACAGCAGGTCAGCTGAGGAAAGGGAGAATTTCTCCAGCCATTCTTCAAAGCAGAGCAACAGCCAGGGCTCCCTGGCAGCACCATCTCCCAGCTCAGCACGTGCTGGGGTTCTCCAGATGCCTCTTGGGTTGTGCCCCATCATTACCTCATCCCCTCTACCTGGCTTTTTCCCCTCGTTCTCTGGGACAGAGCAGGTGCCCAAGACCTGCAAGGTCGACCTGCAAGACCTCCATGTCCAGTAACCCATTTCCATTGTATCAGAAGCTGCTTCAGACACTGACGCTTCTAGGAAAACCTAATCCTGAAAGAATCTGGGGTTGGGTCCTAAGAAACAGATGTGCATAAGCATTCAAAATTTAAGCTGAGGCCACATGGCCAACTTACTGATAATATATATATACACATAGTATTTGTATATGATACAGATATTTTATTATAATAATAAAAAATACTAATAAAAGCAATGAGATACCTTTCTGACATAATTTTTTCAAGAGATGAGCCCCCAGTTTCCACTAACTATTATCTCAAGTTGAACAGAAAAAAGACAACTGTCAAAACAAAGGAAAGCAAGAAAGAGTTGGCTACAGTGTTTACACCACGTATAATTTTGAGTTTAGTTGCTTCCTCCATACACATGGTTACTGTCTCATAATTAAGTTAAAGAGTATTCTTTGGTCTCCCATTGTTTTTGGAGCAGGCCTTGGTTGAAGTATTTTAATACAGTGGGTCAGTTTATTCATCCAGAAAATAAGCATGATCATATCTGCCTCAGAAGGTATTGTGAGGATATCATGATTATTATGTTTTGTCAAATGCTTCAAGAAATTCCTCATTAAAGTAATTAAACTACAATTACTTGGGTCTTAGGGGGTCTTAGTTTTTTTTATTATTACTTCCAAGGACTTCCCCTTCTCTGGCCTGAATTTACCAGCATATTCCCTCAGACTTGTTTAGCCTACTTTTAAATTGTTACTGTAATTTCAGTGCCAAAAGAAATGCTGAATCATGAAACTGTGGTTTTGGAAAACTTTATTTATATTAAAGAAATGCACCCAACAGCATTTCAAGCTTCCTCTCCACTATTTCTTGTGGTGTCCCTCAGTTTGTTCATCTGTCACACATTCAGGAGGATTGTGCCATGCTCCTGCCCCTTGGCAGGTTGAAGGTTGTATTTTCTCTTTTTCCTTGATGAAGAACATTTCACTTTGTAATTGCCAAAGGAAGATGCCCACACTACATTTTGGTATCTTCTCCCATCTAATCCTTCATTGCGGTGCAAACTTCCTTGATTCTTATCAGAAGGAAATCCTGAGCGCAGAGATTTTTTTAAGATTTCTGGTGTAGTTTATGGCACTTCTAACCATCTTGAACCACAACAGCCCATGCACACCCCAAAGTTTTGTGCTGGATCATCCACAGGGATCATCCAGCTAAACAGTGT